AATTTAATAATTATATTTTTCATATTTATAATTCATGATTATATATATATAATCTTAAGTTGAGTATTTCTAATATAATTAATAATTTTAATTTCTTATTAAAAATAAAATATTCAAAAAAATAAATGATTCATACATTAATATATGAATATATATTTTTTATTTATACATCTAAATATAAATATACATTTATATAAATATATTTTTATTCGTATATTGAAATATTTTGATTAAAATATAAACATATTTTAAATACTAGTTTATACAAGAAAAATATAAAATATATCAAAAATATAAATGATTCATACATTTAAATATAAATTGAATCATTTATATTTTCTATACATCTATATTTAATAAGAAAATAAAATTATTGGGGGACTGTATTGCAAGTTTTAAAAGTTGGAGGACCTAAATGCAAACTTCAGAAATGTTCAATGACCATTACTATACTTTACCCTTCTTTTAATTGTTCCCGACAGCAACAAGGACCTTAGTAGATTTCACATCAACATCAAAGCCCCCCAAGTCCCATCAATCATTATAACCACCCTCCTTTCCTCCTACTCTTAAGATCTAAATTGAAATAGTATGTACCCATTACTATTAAAATTTTATGTTTAAATACATATTGTACTATTTATATAAGTTCACGTATTCTCCATATTACTTTATGCGACGTGTTTATAATAAATGTACAATTCAAATAATTACTTGTTATAGATAGAATAATAATAGAGATTAATAATAGAGTATTGTAATTAATGTTTTCCATGTACAATGTGAATGAAAGATAAGACATACGTAGAAAATATATATTTTGCACCCATGTAATCCCTCCCCCGGCGATGAGGAAAAAGGAATCGAAATTGAAGGCAACAACAATGAGGCCGTCCAACTCCAAATCTCAATCTCCTTTTAACACCAAGCTCATCCTCATCTGTGTTTCCGTTCTTCTCTTCGTCCTCCTCTTCATCACCACAAGCTCTTAATTTTCCACATCACAGCCTTCGCCCCTTTCAGAGTCCCACATCGCAAACGCAACAAATCCAGTCGACGAGCCGCCGGTGGCCTGCCCGTCTCTTCTCTTGACGCCGACATGTACCACAACCCGACCATCTCTAGCCAATGCCCTCATCCACTATGCCACCACAAACATTACCCCGCAACAGACTGATGTGGACATCTCTTAACCGTGGCGGTCGCACTGTTTTCCTTGAAGAAGACAAGGCATGGATCGAGCAGATCAAGGGGGAACTCTCGAGTTTAGAAAGTTACCACGTGGAGTACGTGACCAAAGTCCAGGAAGCGGTTGATCTGATGGAGAGGGGAATGATGGAGGAGTGCAAAATGGTGGGTGACCCTAGATTCTCCAAGTGTGAGCTTGCTCTGAAAGGGTTCCCCAATGAGATTTACGACGTGGAATGGGATGTGATAATGGTGGATGCCACCACGGGGTTCCACAATGAAGCTCCCGGGAGAATGAACGCCATCTATACTGCTGGTTTGATGGCTAGGAACCGAGAAGAAGGGGAGACTGATGTGTTCGTGCACGACGTGGACAGGGTGGTGGAGGATAACCTCTCCAAAGCTTTTCTTTGTCAAGGATACTTGAGGGAACAGCAAGGAAGACTCAGGCATTTGAATATTCCTAGTCACAAGGCTCGCTCTGCCACACCCTTTTGCCCTTGACTTCATCACTACTCACAACTCCTCATTTATTTTCTTCTCTTTTTCCATTTTTTTATTTGAAATGCCTCATCTTTTGGATCTATGTTTATAAAGCTACTGTGTCCAGTTCTATTTTATGTCTTTTTATATTCTAATTTTTTTTCTCGAGGATCCAAATCTAGTTTTATTTTTAAAAAAACGCCAAACTATTAATTCCCTTCAATTAAATCCTTATTTTGAACCAAAAACGTCTGGTGAAAGTTAACTCTCATCTTAAGTTGAGACATCATTGTCTCGTTTGTTTCTATTTTATTTTATTTTATTCTATGTCATGAGCAATGTCAAGTCCTGTGCAACCATGGAATGAACGTTCTCCTGCTCTGGTAGCATCGTAAGTCCTACAGATAGGGTCGCGATCATATCTCCCACCCGCGAGGATTATGGAAGACTTAAGCATGATTATCAGAATTTTGTTTCAGAATGTGGCATTAAGGAATGCAGATTTTGGTGACGTGGTCCTCCTATGACCGCACTGGATCTTGATCTTCCATGAATCCACCTCTCCTCAGCAGACATGGTTTGATAAATTTTAATATATATATTAAATATAAGTTTTGATAAAATTAATATAAATGACGAGTCTAACTCAGTGATTGAGCGTCGGGCCAGTTCGATTCCCTCCATCACTAACATGAGAAACACATCCTCTCTTCTCTAATCATATTTCAAAATATAAAAATTAATTGCTAACTCAAGATTTGAATATTTAAAGGATTCTTCTGACCAAAATAAAAAAATATATCAAAAAGGCTAAAAGTATAATAAATACTAAATTTACGTATAATTTTAAATTTCTAATTATACTTAAAATTGTATAATATTTAATTGTAATTTATTAGTAAAGTCGTTCTTTTGTTTCTTCAAATTTAAAAGATTTCTTTAGGTCATCGATTCAGAATAAAAAAATGGAGTTTAGATTATATTATCAATTTGAGTATATTATCTCGAGAAAACATTTTATTTTAAATATCTTTATGTATTTAGTAAATATTAATAGAAATAGTACCCTATTGCATCTGAACTTCAAATGATTTAACCTTAACTGTGTTAACGGTTTCAAAATATTAGTTATCAGAAAACCAAAGTCGATATTCCAATGAATTATAAAATGTTACTGTTCTTAAAAATGATTTTTCTAATTTACTCAGAAGTAAATAATGGATCATACTCTCTTTTTCATTCTTAGTATAACAAAAAAAGAAAAAGAACGAATGTAATCTATTCTTGAATTAAATAACTCTACACACTCTCTCGTCAAAAGAAAAAATCAATACACCAAGATTTATTGCTAAAATATCGTTATTAATCTCAAAAGTCCCTACGAATGGCTAAGGAAATGAGAGAATTGATTATATTTTACCGGAGTCTTCTATGGGCAAATACATATTGGTCGGGTGCCCCCAAGGATCTCCTCCGTCCTCCTGTGTTCCAAATTCAATGGGAGCCGCCTCCAATTGGTTGTTTCTGTTTAAACACCGACCGAGCAGTTAATATGAGGCACGATAGCTCTGCAGGAGGCCTCATCAGATCTCATGACGGTGGCTTCATTACGGGTTTCAGTCGAAAGCTGGGCACCTTCACAGTAATTCAGGCGGAGCTTTGGGGAATTTTATTGTGTCTGACCTTAGCGTGGGACAATGGATCCTGAGTTTTACAACTGCAGGGTAACAGTTCTGAGGCGTTTGAACTGGTCACTTCAGCCTCAGCAGACAACCCACTCGGTTTGGTTCGTAGTATTTTTGACCTTCTTGATAAGGATTGGCAGGTTGACTTCAAGCTTATTTGGAGGGAGGCGAACATGGCCGCCTACTTCTTAGCAAAACTTCATGGTGGTACTGATGGTGATCTTCACGTTTTCGATAGTATTCCTCCTGCTATGAGCGATCTCCTTGCTCGTGACATGTAGGGTCCTCTGTACCTGCGGTTGTAATTGCTTTGCCTGGCTTACATCTATTTGAAAAAATAATAATTCGGTTTTTATATTATATCAATTTGACTTCTTTTTATGTATTCTATTCTATCTATATTATTTTAATTTTATGTGTTTATTTATAATAAATTAATTGATTTATTATTTAATTATCAAGAGAATAGTATTAAAAAATATTACATTAAAATTATCGTTAATTTAATTAAATGGTCAAAATATAAACACGAAAATAAATAGACGACCAAATAATTGATTTACCCTTCAATTTAATAACCTCTCACAATTACCGGGATTCGAGAATGTATACCAGAGCCATCAACCTGCTTTAATGGGCTAAACTCTCGAGATAACGTCTTAGAACAAATTATTTCACGAGATAATGTTCTCCTAAGATTAATTGCTCAAATAGGGTGAAATCTACAGTGTTGGTCGTAGGTCGTCATGCCATATGGGCGACCTACTAGGTCGCCATGTCTTCCCGGCGAGCTATGAGGGAGATTGCATGTGCCATGCACGTTCCAACACGCTGGGCATCTGAGGCCATCCGACCGAGGCTATCCGAGCGAGCTATGCGAGGGCAAGAGGAATCACGCGAGGAGCAGGAGGGAGTGCATGGCGACCTACAAGGTCGCCAGGAGTGCATGGCGACCTATATGGTCGCCCGGAGGGCATGACGATCTATGCTTGGGGACGTGCATGGCTGGCCACGTAGTTGGTCACCCGGAAGGCATGGCGACCTACGGCCAACACTGTAGATTTCACCTTATTTGAGCAATTAATCTTGGGAGAGCATTATCTCGTGAAATAAATTGTTCGAAAACGTTATGTCGAGAGTTTAGCCGCTTTAATGACGTGACGACAATTTTTGTGAACTCTGGGTTCACTTTCTGTCTCTACGAAAATGCTACTTCCATTCTTACTAATTTTGAATGCCGACTCCCTCCTCATTATTTAAACATAAATGTTTAACATATTTTATTCTTCATTTTGTGAATTTCATAATTGTTTCTCTTATAAAAGTTTTATTAATTAAACATATTTTGATTACTTGGGTAGACATGGAAGGGATGCTTTAGGGAGAGATCATGTTGTACGCTAAGCTAGCAAGGTTGTGGCTGGCCAACAAGTTGATCACGAGATACATCCGTCACCACCGCTGCTGCTTCAATGTAAAGTAATTCTTTATTTGACATATTCAGCGATGAGTGGCCACCGCAACTAAAAGTTTTACGGCTCAATCTCTCCACCCCCAAACTCAAAACCAACATGCATGCATGGATGCACATGAACCCCATAATAGCTTATCAAACCTTTTCACCCCTATATAAATGGCCCATCCATCTGCATGGAGATCGATGAGTTTAGCCATAATTAAAGAAAATGAAGACCGGTGGTGAGCTAGTCTTGTTGATTTGTTTGATCGTGGCCTGTTTTAATGGTAGAGGTCGGTCGCAGCGGCTGCCTCAGCCCCAGCCGCAGCAGTCTCAAGTACCATGCTTTTACATCTTCGGTGACTCCTTAGTGGACAATGGGAATAACAATGGTATGGTCACACTTGCTAGGGCTAATTATAGGCCCTACGGCATCGATTTCCTCGGGGGTACCACCGGTCGTTTCACTAATGGTCGAACTTTTGTTGACGCTCTAGGTAAGTTACTGCTCCATGATCAGTCTTATTTTGGTAATTTTTTTCATTCGTAATCGGTTTCCTAATGAAGCACTTGAATTGCAGCTCAACTTATGGGGTTTGCACGCTACATTCTTCCCTACTCAAGGGCTCGTGGCCCTGAATTGTTGCGCGGAGCCAATTATGCCTCCGGCGCTTCTGGTATTCGCGACGAAACAGGCAACAATCTGGAACATATATATATACACATGTGTTCAACTATATGAAATTGCATGCACGACGGTTATTTAAAATCACCTCATATGATTTAGAAGAAATCTTTCATTGAAAATATAACATGTTTGTGTGTAGGGAGCCCACACATCGATGAACGGACAGGTCGCGAACTTTGCGAATACGGTGGTGCAAATGAGGAGGTTCTTTAGAGGAGACACCAATGCTTTGGGCAGCTATCTAAGCAAGTGCATATTCTATTCTGGTTTGGGAAGCAATGATTATCTTAACAACTATTTCATGCCAAGCTTCTACACAACCAGCTCTGATTTCACCACCAAAGCTTACGCGGCTGCACTTATTCAGGACTACACACGCCAGCTAACCGTAAGTTTTCCAGCTCGAAAGGTGATCGTAACAGCAGTTGGACCAATCGGATGCATACCGTATCAACTAGCTCGGTACCACGGTAATAGCAGCCGCTGCAATGAAGATATAAACAAGGCAATCGTTATTTTCAACACCGAGCTAAGGAAGGTGGTTGATCGTTTCAATGGCGGCCAACTACCAGGAGCGAAATTTGTTTACCTTGATTCCTACAAAAGCAGCATGGATCTTTATCAAAATGGTTCTGCTAACGGTAATCTACAACTATATAATTAACTTTAACACGAACCTTAAAAATTTTCTTCATTTTCCGGTGTTTGATTGACGTAATTGGTTTTAAGGAAAAGTTTGTTGACGCTCAAAAGTGTACAGGGTTTGAAGTAATAGACAAAGGATGCTGCGGAGTGGGAAGAAACAATGGGCAGATAACATGTCTTCCCCTTCAACAACCTTGTACAGATCGAAGGAGATACCTGTTCTGGGATGCCTTCCATCCGACCGAACTGGCCAACATCTTATTTGCACAGTCTGCCTATGGATCACAGGCTTATACTTACCCTATAAACATACAGCAATTGTCCTCCCTCTAAAACCTCATGTTTTCTTCACTTGCTGAATTCAGTTACTGCTTGTTGGTCATTATAATTCAAGTTGTTAATTAATTTATGTTTTAGTGAATGCAATTTGGCTTTGGATTGTGAATTTATCACCATTGATTTTGGGTTTACAAAAGTTGATTATTTAAAAGACAATTAATTATGAATATTGATGCATGGAAGACCAGTTACACTGAGGCTTATAATAAATTTTAGGAACAAAAAGTTTCATTTTATCTTCACGAACTAAGCAATTTTAATGATTAAAAATTTGTTGTTATTCTTTGAAGTCTTAGGTTCGAGCATTGCATAAATAGATGTGTGACAACAAGATAATTCATATTAAATGATATGTAAACTTATTAATTAAGTATAAAACATATGTAAATTATATTATAAACTAAGTAAAGATGTGTGAAAACAAGATAATTCATATTAACTACGTTATATATCTAATATATGACCCCCTGTTAGAGCTTGAACTGTACTATGAGTATGAATGAGAGTATGAGATGGTGTCTGAACTGTATTAGCTCCCTCTAGACAATCCCTCAAGAGATGGTCGCCGGAACCACATCTAAAACATGTACCCAACTTCTTCCTACACTCACCAAAATGACGTCTCCCACAGTGCTCACATGATGGCAAATGCTACAACCTAGAAGAACCACCATTACTAGAAGGCGAATTAGCTGATGAACTTGACGCCACAGGCCTGACACTCGCACCACCTCTTTGAAAAGACTCACCCCTATCTCTCTTGCTGGGGCGTGTAGAAGAGTCAACAGAACCAGAAGGTCTCTTGAATCGGTCTCGGTCTCGATCTCTATCTTTTCTGCGCTTCATACCCACTCGCTCTATCTCCTCAGCGGTTTTGGCTATCTCAACCAAGGCATCAAAGTTTCTCTCCTGATGGGTAGCAATTCGACTCCTTATCTCATACCTAAGTATATTCTTGAATCCCAAGCACCGATCCAACTTAGTGTCAACAAGTCCAGTATCATAGCGACTCAATCTGATGAACTCAATCTCATAATCCATAACAAACATATCACCATGTACTAATTACTGAAACTCATGGCGTCGCTCCTGCATGTATCTTTCTCCGATGTAACGACTCTGAAAATGTGCCTTGAAAAGATCCCAAGTCAACTGATTCCCAAGAATACTACCAAAAATCGATCGCCACCATTTAAAACTCTCTTTCTTCAACATAGCTAGGGCCCCCTTTAACTTCTGTTCAGGCCTCATATACATCTCATCCATAATCTTTTATATATCCTTCAACCAATACTCAGCGTCAGTCAGAGGTCCACTAGTAATGCCTTCGAATGGAACTACTCAAACAACTACCAAAGACTTCGAAATCTCGACTGCAGACATATTATCAAGAACTCTAGCAGCTATCCAGAACATATGAAAGATAACTCTATTAATGACATCCTTATCCAAATAAGTTCCTAGTCCTCGATGATGGGAGGGTCTCTCGCAAGAGTAATCGGATCATCACGAGAAATATACAGATCTACATGTAGAACAAGAGGATCTCAAGGTGACATCGGATCATCTATCATAACAGAGGGTTGATTCGCTCGCCCTCGACCACAACCACGGCCTGGCCTACAATGTCTAGCAACACTCATCGGATAAATCTATGAGACTCTACAAAAAGAATTTGAATCTAAGTTAAACTAGCATATATAATCTCAAATATATTTAAAACCCATAAAATAAGGTGACAAAGATTTTTTTAAATATAAAAAATATCTTGAAAATCTTGATTTAGGACTCATCCACAGTCCGAGTGTTTGAAACCGAAAGCTCTAATACCACCAAGTGAAACCTCCTAGACCGACCTTGGATGTTATGACCAAATCTAGGCAGTCACATATCGTATTCAGAAGGTTTTTTCATATTTAAAATAACGTTGAAATCCATATATTAGTATAAATATGAAACTACCATCTGTGAAATTCATACTATAAACATATATATACATATGTAGGAAAAATCGTATAAAATATATACATAACAAAATATTGGTAATACATATATATCAAAACAGTAGCAAAAACACGTGTCACCAAACTATAACAAAAATGGCATATAAGGATATACAGTGGTACAAAAATGAGGAGTAGTCGGTCCTCTTGATGCTAAGTTTGCTAGTCTATTGTCTGCTACTATCTGAAAATGTTAAAATTTACATAATGAGCTAAAAAGCTCAGCGTGCTCCTTGCAGTGTATAAAAACGTACAGATAAAGTACTTTAGTAAAAATCAGTTCATCAAACATGTTTTAAAAATATAAACACTACCCCCAGCCGATCACCAAAATGTGTAGGTTCCCCATAACCATACACCCACCTGTACACCATGTAAGGGCCTTATACATATAGAATAAGGACCTGCGACAAGGACTTACCCTGTACACAAAGCAGAGGAGCATGCGGTAAGGTCTTACAAGTCATAGACTAGGCCTGAGATACTTCCTCCAATAATACCCCAATGACAGTAACAAACATGTATGCATTCGAGTGAAAACGATAGTTTAATCCATTAAAACATGAAAAATTTTCATATTCATAAATCATATAAAGAAATACAGTAACCATAGATCATATTAGAAACATACATCAAATCAGATATTAGATAAACATTATTCAGAAAATTAGGTATCATGTCGTAAAAATATCCAATATCATCATAAATCTAAAACAGTTCAGATATGTAGTTTAAAATAGTAATGTAACATCATCAAGAAACACACTTGTACCGGTATAAGTAGTCTGATAAGGAAGTCTATTTTTGGGTCTGTCGATCACGATCAGCAGCAACGCTAGATCATACGAATCAGAAAATCTATATCAGAATCCTAATATGAATAATAATAATAACCCCTATTTAAACAATTTACATAAATCTACGAGTAACTCTTGAAGAACGCAGATTATGCGAATTTGATGGAACGGAAGCACTGGATCTAATCGACTCTCGGTCGGGGGAAACATGAGTACCTTCATAAAAATATATACTCGAATCAATTCTATAATCAAATCTCAAATAAATAAGCAAAAATGCTAAAAATACTAAGCATTTTCGGATTAACGGGCTCAATTCGGGAATTTCGGGTCAAAATTTGGCATAACATACCGCAAATTTGGACTCAGAATGTCGAAAAAAATCAATATAGAGGTTTTTGGAAAAAGTCAACGGTCGATCGGTTCAGTTTGACGGGTCGGGTCAGATCGGTTATAGAAGCCCACCAAGCAATAGACCTTCCCCACGCGCAACGACAGCGCGTGTGGGGCCTTTGGGTCGAAATTTTTTTTATATGCATTATAAGGGGTTTTGAGATACTTACCAAACATGGTTCACAATGGTGAACGACGGAAAGCTCGATTTCACAACGTCGAAAACTTTTTCTTCCTCACTCCTTCACGCGCCAATGGTAACGGAGACAAGGCAAACACCGGTGGACTCTAGACGACACAAGGAACACGATGGTGTGGGAGGAGTAAAAAATGGAGCAACGATCGGCGACAAAACGTCGATTAAAGTTTGCTTACTAAAAGAGGAAAGCTTAAAGAGAGAGAGAAATAAGGGTTTCCAAATGAGGAAACTTTATAGATTTGAGGTTATATAATCCCTTAAAAATGGTATAATTGCATAAGAGGTCCTTCGGTTTTAGTTACTTTCATAATTTAGATCAAAATTTAATCAAAATTTTACTTCGGTCTCAGAATTTAGTTAAAATTTTAATTTAGTTCCCAAAATTAATTTGAAGAAAATTTTATACCCTAAATTGGAGTGTGACAAATACAATCTATCGAAGTCAAAGAAAAAAAGGGAACTATAGCATGGGATGTAAATATGAAGAAATTGAAAAAGGACGACTACAACATTAGTGATCCTAATGATTTTAAAGATGTGTGCCTCAATTCCGACTTTAACAAAATAATTATGGTTGAGCATGACCATTTCTTGTTCCACATGAGCTTTGCTACTTATATTTTACATCCCAAGAAGCTACTATAGGAAGCTACAAAAATGATTGAGCACAAAGAAAAACAGCTGGTCCATTTCTCAAGTAATTGTTCTACACAGAAACAAAAATCATGCAGAAATACCGCAAGGCATAAGCATCTTTTTCGCATTACTTGTGGAAGCAAAAAACATGTAGCGAAAGAACAACCCAAATATCACCCTCAATTTCATTCAAATAAAGAATTACAAAGCAATGGGTACGAAAAACTAGTTTCCAAAGTAATGGCAGATACAAGCACAAACCTGCTCATACAAGTCCTCCAGTTTATTCCTTGGGAGCTTAAGTTGAGCGACTTGAGGCAATATGGCATCATATCTTCCATTGTTAATATCAGCAACAAAGGTCTTAATATTGTCAACAGTATTTAGAGAAACCTGGCACTCATTTTGTAGAGTTTGGAACGTTTGATGCAGCGAATTTTCTTTGCAAAATTGGAGCACAATCTTAATAACGCTGACCAGATAGAAAGATATTGAAACAACCAAAACAAAACAAGAGTTGAAAATTCATGAAAGTATCTTGGGCATTGCCCAGATGCAGAAAACGAGAAAACAACATAAACAGATAAGGGAAACGTACTCTCGAGCTTCGATTTCTAGAGTCATGGTGGGTGCCCGAGGGAAAGGATTGATTGAAACTAGGGGTCGTAATAGACCAGACGATAAATTTTTTAGGCCTGAGCCTGACCATAGCCTATCAAAGGCTTTTATTTTAGCTGGGTCTGGCCTTTTTAAAAGTTTGGCCTGGCCTGATAGCCTTTTTAAAAGCATGTTGAATTCCTTCTTGTATATTGCCATTAACAAGTTGATTGCACCCTGTAAATTAACAAGTTGAAAAGGGAAGGCCTCCAATTAAAACCTCTGCTTCATATAAGAATCCTAAAGTGTACATTAAAAATTGCAATATAAAAGTACAACCCAACAATAGAATAATTACTTTAATCATATACAAACCTCACGAATCTCTAGTGGATGGCCGACAGGCATGGATGGGCTCGGTGGATTCGCGAGCCAGTGGCGCACTGTTTCGGGCAGAAGGCTAACAGGGTGTGGGTGCTTCACGTGGGAGCTCGGTCTTAGGTTTATAAAGCTTATAATATATATATATATATATATATATATATATATATATATATATATATATATATATATATATATAAATCGGCCTATCAGGCTTATAAGGCTTTTAATAAGCCTAAGTCTGACCTATTTAATTTAATAGGTTTTTAAAAAATCCCGAGCCTAACATTTTTATTAAATAGGCCAGTCCAGGCCAGACTTTATGTAGGCCAGGTCGTAGGCCCCTAATTGAAACAATATACTGAATTAAATTTTTGTAATAATTTGGACTGGCTTGAAGAGTTAGGCTTCAACTATCTGGGCTTTGGGTTCAATATTTTAAATTCTCTAAAGCCCAAAAAGCCCAATTATTTATATTAGTGTAATTGCCCTAAGGAGAACTATTGCCCCTTTTCTCTGCGCTTTCAATATACGTATTCACCATTGCAGCAGCTATTTTAAGCTTGGGAGAAAGTTGAAACTTTTAAGAAGTACGATGAAGAATAAAACAAGTAAAGAGAAGGCTAAATCTGTTGGTATCGCCGAAGATTTTCAAATGGGTAAATGTCAATGGAAAATTTTCAACTGATTTGTTTTCGAATGATCTTTGTATATATGTATTTAACTCTTCTGCGATGGGTGTACTTCTTTTGTTTCGTTGGTTTCAGTGGAGAACTTAGTTGCAACCAAACAAGGGAAGAAAAAGGATAAATTAAGTAAGACGAAAAGAAAAAGTAAAGAGAAAAACGCTAGCGTTGGAACTGATGATAAGCTTGTTGATGACAACGAAGTTTATGCTCAAGGTGTGACTTTTATTTTTAATTTTCATATTTTTTTAAATAAATGGTGAGAGTAAGACCGAAGACTCCATGGCTTATACTTCATAGAGCAAGATGAAAAGCTGCAAGTTCTAAATAATTGATAGGATTTGTTTGGTTTACTTAGAATTTCATCAACTCTTACATTGCATTTGCAGACTCCATTATGAAAGTAAGACTAAAAGTTGTAAATGAATGGGCTTTTTCTTTTGGTTTATTTAGAATTTAATCAACTCTAATATTGCAATTGCTCTTTGATGTTTACATAACATTTTTTTCTTCTAGACAAATGTAGAAAAGATAGAAAAAAGAAATCAAATGGTCAGTTGCTGGAAAAGAGTATAGCAGCTCAAGAGGATGGAGTTTATGAAATACCTTCTGGAGACGACGATTGCTCAAAAGGAATGAAAAGTATGAAAAGTAGAGATAAACTTCCAAAGCAGTATTGTTAATATTCTGAATTTTGCTTTGAAACTTATTAGTGTTAAGTCTTATTTCCATCTTCGTTTAGGTTATGCACCGCAGTAGGCAATATTGCAATTGTTGAACTTGTAGCTAAAAGCCAGGTTTTTTTAATTGATGTTAGCATGCCCTTTCTTATCTGGATTCTAGTTTGATCATGTATTTTCCATTATCAGTTGATAGACAAGTTTATCGCTTTATAGACATTTGATAGGTAAGTTTTCTTAAACTGCAGAATGGCTTACAGACTACCACCAAAGCAGGCCTGGCTTGAAGGTATTGCAACAAAGGATTGACGAGTTTATAATTGCATACGAGGAAAAAATTGAACAGGTATTTTTATTCTTGGTACCCCATGTTGAATCATAGCAATACCAGTTTTGTCAAGGCGTTTACCTTAGCATTACACAACAAAAACGCACGTCAAGCCCTTATAGGCAAGGTGCATTTGATCAGAGGAATGCACTTGGTATGCTTAGGTGCTTTTTCTATAAGACAGTAGATAAAAAGAGAAAAAACGGTTGTATAAGGAGAAAACATCAAACTCTTTACTTCGATGTTTGAATATTCAATGACAAATCCAAGACTGTTAGACAATCATGCATGTTGGCCAACAAAAGAATGAAATTTCTCATGCTTCATAGGATTTACATAATTTTATATTTGTTATTCCGCATGCACTCACACACAGGTAGCTGAGCATCCTTTTGCACTTTGTGGCACATGGCATTTAAGATTTTAATGCCTATACTGCACCTTGCACCCTTGACAATATTTATTTATATATACTGTTATTTATGAACTTTTACCTTTACACATTGTTAGAAATGTTTTTCTTCTTGTTATTTACTATTTGGGTCATTATGGTGATATAGGAAAGGAAAGAAAAAGAGGCTCGTCTTACGGAAGGGGGATGGATACTTGTTGAACATCATAAAGGAAGGAAAAAGACCACAGACTCCGAAAGTGGAACTACGGTAGGCTCTGTTTCCCAGGCTGCTGTGGAGGAGAAATTAGCTAAGAAGAAGAGCAAAGAGGTCTCTGATTTCTACCGCTTTCAGAAAAGAGAAGCCCAGAGAAATGGTATGAATGATATTCAATTAGGTGTTTCCCCCCTTTTTTATAATACCAATATGTCCCTATTGAGTTTATTGTCAACATTTTCTGGTGGGTTTTAGTTAAGTTGTGATTAACTATGTTGTTGGGTGTAGATGTTAGGATTAGCTGCTTCTCATTGCACATAAGTTTACACTTTTCTTTTCTGCTTTAATCAATTCAAAAAAATTGTATGTTATAGTTGGTCAAAATTGTGTGTGCTAGGCGACCGGCAGGCTACGTTTCTCCAGAATTCATTAAGCTTGAAATACTTGTATCCAGCAGACTTCTGTAAAAGGGATATGACCCACAGAAGACCTCCCAAAATCATGGAAAAACTTGTATACCTTCCCACACTCGCCTAAATTCAAACAACGTAGTTGGCAGGAGAATATTGATGGGTACTGCATGCTCAAACTGGAGTGGAAATTTTATTCATTATTTATTTTTTGAATACACTGATCGTCATCATTCACATTTGTAGAGACCATCATCGTCATAATTATTTATATTTGAATAGTAATGAAGGGGGGTCCAGATCCCTCAAAATGACCTTTACTTCGATGTTCTGCTTTCGGCAATGTCTTGTATGTTTCAAATACACTGATCATCATCATTTTGTATGAATGCTGACACAAAGGATTTACATAACCTTGTTTTCTCCTTGCAGAACTTTTGACACTCCAAAGCAAATTCGAGCAGGATAAAAAGCGGATTCAACAGATGAGGGCCGCCCGAAAGTTTCGACCTTATTGAGATCAAGAGTTGAACCTAATCTCTCTTTGATGGTTTCATCATTGCTGCATTTGCGAAGATGGAACCCTGACTACCAATTTGGTGCAATTTGTAGTTTCATACTATACTGGAAAATCGACTGCAATCTCTCAACTAGAAATTTTACAATTATATCAACAATTACTATCATTAAGAATTTTTTTTTTGAAAAGAATCATTAAGAATCTTAACTCGTTGATAGTGATTACACTGTATGCGTATCATGTAATCTATGCAATGCAGACATGCTTTGCAGATGAAGTTGTTCGAATCCAGTAAGAATAAAATTTAAGTTTCATCAATAATTTCATTTACTTCTAGAACAAATAGATGAAACATACCAAGTAAGAACATATAATGTATAATCGAACTTAAAACTAAAAGCAACTCAATCATTTTCAAAATACATTAAATTTTAACTCCCTTACACACTTTATTTCATCACACGAAGAGGAAAAACAAACAGGAACAAGAGCACTTGATTATTCACTTTTATACTAACTCATTATCTTTAATTTATATATGAAATTATACGGTAACATTCTAAACATTAAAATATGTTATTTGCTATGGTTAGTGGGTGCAGCATATTAGTGGTCATTGTAGTAAAGTCAGTGTTGCTGATATTCTCCTCAATCTGAAAAACAAAAATAATCATAAAAAAACAACTTTTGTCAGTCATTGTTGCATCTATTATTTCTACATTAACGCATAAATTTAAATGGCATCGTTAAATAATTTTTAAATAATGGCATTATATAACTAACAAAAATACAAATTTATGTGTATTCGAATATAAATCATTATTATAACCCTTCAAATTTAACCATTGGTATTGCTTTTCTTATTACCGTTTCAAGAAGGCATTTATTTGCAGCTTTCATTATCCCTTCCTTTATCCAACAAAAAGAAAAACAGTTATTACACAAATATAATAATCAACTAAATATGTATATATATATATAAGCACAACTAATAAAACTTTAATTAATCAACACATTTTTTAATTATATTTGAAACTATTTTTATTTTTAAACTTAGTTTTTAATTTAATACTTTTGTCAAAATCTTTTCAAATTTTAGATGACTATTCAGATTTTAACAAGTAATACAATCATTAGATAAGTCTGTATATAAACAATTACTTTCAACATATCTACTTCTTTTGACTTTTTTAAGTGATTATCATATAGAGATTATAATAGAGGTGTTTAAATTATACATAATTAAAAAAAGAAGTGTTTAAGTTATATATTTTGTTTGTTTACGTATTTAATTTATTTTGTCAATATATATGTAACATTTATTTTGTTACTATTTTAAGTGTTTGGCAATTAACATGTGTTAAAAAGAATCTGTTATCTAATCAGTGTTCGACACGTAACATGTTTTTTTTATAAAAAACCCCCTAATAATCCCTATATTATTCAATCTCAAAACTCCCTAAATCCTTAAATTCTAAATCTCTAAATCTCATATGCCACCACCGGTCACCCTTTATGTCGTCGAACTCCCACCAATCGATCGCCTCTTTATCGTCCACTTCACCACCAAATAGAATAATCGCAACACTTAGTTACTAATCTCGTCATACAAGATCCTTTTTTCACTCAACCATCGCTTGTCCATCGTCATTGGTGAGGCTCCACTATAATGACTTGGAGTTAACTTATAGGAGTTGACTCAGGATAACTTTGGCTCGGTTTAGAAGTATATTTGAACCTTTGGGACAAGTTGGGTCTCTTTGGGGGGGGGGGAATTGAGACGATTTGAACCAAGAAAAGAGGAAAAATTATATGGAAACTGAATGTTAAGGGATCAATTGGGTAAATAACTTATTGAAGAAAATCAAGTTGATTTCTCCCTTGATTTTGTGATGTCACTGTGGGTTTAGGGGGAAACTTATAGGTTTTCACGTATCTTTCGTCACATTGTCTTTTTTCCTTCAATAATTTATTTTTCTTATTCTTCCGAAGCAAAAAGACTTCATCTTAGCTTTTGTTGAAGGAATCCCATCTCAAATAAGATAAGAAACATTTTAAGGAATTCCTGAACTTTAAAACGAGATCAATGTTACTCATTTTTGAAGATACGAGCAAGGGGTTTTTATGATGGTTTAAGCTTTATGGCCAACTTGAGAGTATTTAGAGTATATTTATGTTTTTAAATTCATCCTTAATTTTTATTTCGTCGGTATAAATGATTATGACTTTTTTGTTTTTGCTTGTGTTTTTATTAGTTATAGATAGAGGATAACCGTCTAGTGCTAGACGCAAGGAAAAGGGTTGGAGGAAATTGATATTAGGGTCTTCGATGGTGTTTTGAGCTAAAGTAGTGTATTGTTAATCTCATAGTAGATCATGATACTCATAAATATGATGTCTTACGCGTGGTATATTAGTTGTTGAGCTTATTTGAGTGATATGCATGTTTGATAGTTAAATTGATGAACTTATTGCTAAAAATAAGTTAATTTGATGCTAAATGAACCAATAGTACTCTCTTAGACCTTACAAATGAAGTATGACCTTAAATACAGTGTGTAGAGAAGAATTGCGAGTGATTTCTAAAATATAAAATGATATTTTCTAGGCTTTGTTATCAGTGTCATTCTTTAAGTATTGATAATATATTAATATGGAGTATACACATATTTGCGGTGTCGATATTATTCCTTCGTTATAGATATTGAATATTGAGTATTGATACTAATTGTAAAAATAAGATTCTAGTGTGTCAATTTGATATTGATATTGTACAAGAGTATCGATACTAAAGGTTGAGAAAATATTATTTTACTCCTAGAAAGATGATATGTAGTGATTCAATGAGGTTAATGAGATGAATTAGCTTATTACGATTAAAATGCCCTCGAGGAGTACACATTACCAAAATACCTTTATAAGTATAAAATTACGAAAATATCTCCATAAGACTAATCGACTAAAAATAATGACTTAAATACATAAAAAAAGAGAGTATATAGCATAGAGTTCTAATGGTTGACCTTAGTGGCCTAAGGTATTTACTTGTTAGCTTTAGCGACGTAAGTGTGATTACTTATATGGTATTAGTGATGAATGATTATATACTTATATTATGTATTTACTTATGTGGTTTTAGTGACAAATGAAAATGGATATCGATGTGACCTTAGTGGCGAATGAAATATGACTATTTATATGGCCTTAGTGTGAATAAATATCTATGTAAGCGGTCTTAATGACGATATGATAAATATACAATTACACTTATGCGACATTAGTGACGAGAACTATCTGGATATCCTTAATTACATACTTGATGCTATATGAGATTGAGAAACATTATTATATTATCATGATTATGTGATTGTATATCTATTTGTTGACTATTGATGATGGAAGTTCATGGTTAGGCACTATATTCTAGGACTAGCGAAAGCATAAGACTAATATTTGTCAAGGAAAATTAATTAATTGATCACAAATATATTATGCATTGGATTTATTAATCATGTTTATACTCATTGCTGATTGTTTATATTGTTAGCATACTTATGTTTACGAATTTCATGATGTATATTAGATTAATAATATACTATTGAGCATACGGAGTTCAACGTTGGTGGAGTACTATCACTTCAGGATTTACAACATCCACTTTTATGATACAATATTTGAGTACTATATTGAGCATGTATATTCATAGGACTCTTATGTATATTCATAGGGCTCTTTTGTGTATTTGGTCTGTTACTCTTTTTATATTTTGAGATTTATTTTGAGAAAATTTATAAACTAAGCTTCGACTTGTAAATATGTTTTAACATCACTATGAAATTTTATGGTTTGCTTTAAAAATGATTTCATATTATGATCAACGAAGGAAAATTTTAAAAGCAATAGTTGTTTCGGTGATCTAATGTGACCTGCTAGACCCATTATGTAATGGTTCAGGTTTAGTTTTTTACAAATACCGTCGTTCGAACCTTCGCTCTCAATTTGATGTCCTACTGTTTAAGGGGATTTGAGGATTTAGAAATCCGTGGTTTTAAGGATTTGTTTCCGAAATCATAAAATTTAAGGTTTCTTAGACATTTTGAATTATTTTTTTAGAAAAATAATATTAATCATAAATTAGTGTCACATATCAAACTACCATTGATTGGATTTTTTTAAAGGTGGTTGGATGATCTTAAAATATTAATAGAATGAAATTTAGGTTTCTTAAATGGTAATAAAATAAATGTTCGAAATCTACTTTGATAAAAAAATATTAGACGCCTAAAATAAATAAGAGGAATAATTTATATATTTATTTTAAGAAATTATTCCAAATTATAAAGCTGGCATGACATGTTTAGATGACTTAATGTATTTCTCATCAACTATGTAATGTGCTACAATATCATTATGTTAAAGGATGAATGGCAAATAACCAATGGGGATTAAAATATTAAAAATCAATAATATTATTGATAGGTTTGTAGTTTTTTATAATTTAATATTAAAATTTAAATCTATCAATAATTAGATGAGGTTGTACTGTTTCGAGTTATATATATATATACCTACTTAATAGTTAATTTTAAAATATTTATCTTTTTAGTATAATATTATTTATTTATCAATAATTCGAATCATGTACTATATAGGCAAGAGCGATTTTCCCAACTCAATTATTCATAACGAATGCAATTTAATATAGTATTTAAAAAACATTAAATGTCATCTTAATAGTAAATTTCTTTTCATTTTCCCCTAGAAACCAAATATTTTTTACGTTTTGTTTGTATGTAAATACTTACAAAAACCAGAATGTATTAATATGGACAGTCGTACTAACCTTGTCCCTTAACATTTGAATTTCTTGTAACATAATGTCCATCTGCAGTTCATGTAACAAGTTTAAAAAAATGCAAATGAAAATGGTATTACATAAAAATTGAATTAAATTATAATTAAAATGACCATTACCTTTGTTGATCGAATTTGATTGATCCGAATTTCTAAATGCTTTTCAAGTACAAGCAATTCATCCAGTGACATATATTCACAACCCCCTCCAAACATATAACTGTAAAAAAGAAATAAAAAAATATAATATGATATAAAAATAAAAGACAATTATTGATATGTCCGAAAAAGAATAAATGAAAGTCTACCTGAGACCTTTCTGAAGAATTTCGATCTCCTGCTTCAGCATGCCAATCTCCTTTTTAGCATCCTAAAATTTTCAAATAAATAAATGGGAGAAAAGATTTCAATGATCTATTCATACCCAGAATTCTAACACTATTTCCTTTTGGTTTGTTGAAGCAGAAGAATCTGATTCAACACCCACTTTGCTGATAACATCATACTGATAATATTTTTTTATATCAAACTCGATTTATCTAAAAAATCATATTTTTATTAGAGAATGTTTTTTTAAAGTAAATTTATATTAATATTTTAATAATTAAATTCAAACAAGATGTGTTCAAAACTATACATGTTCATCTTTGATGATTTCATGGGCTTATTTATTAGTTTCTACGTAAAACTTTGTAAAGAAATATGTGTGTATACGAAGCGTATATGACTTACCATAGGTTCCACCATGGGTTCATCAGGCAGCTGAGGTCCACCAGTGTACTTGCCATACCTCTCAATCAGCTCTTGCATGGTCCTTCATTTCCCAAAAAAAAAAGTATAAATATTTCTTTGTTTTTTATATCTCTAGTAAGCTCTTGCATGGTCCATGCATGTATTGTTTTATTTTGTATTAACAATTTAACATACTAAGTTTATACATACATGTATGTATGGTTGTGCAAGAAATGAAAATGTATTGGGGGGACATGAGAAGAGACCCTTTGGTGGCTAGTTCATAGAGCTTTCCATGAGCGGAGAAAATGAAAACACCAATTTCAGCATCGCAGAGCACGGAGAGCTCCTTAGCCTTCTTAAGGAGGCCAGCTCGGCGCTTGCAGAAGGTAACCTGCCGTTGCACCGGGTTCTCAATGCGCTTCATCTGAACTCTTCCACGGCCCATCCTTTGAATTCGATATCGCTAGCTTTCGATCTTGGGATATGATATGATCCTGTGCACACAACCTCCCACTAGTTTGAACTAGCTTCGAGGTTGTCGCAATGCTGCTTTGGATTTGGTCCTTTGTCCAAACAACTTGTTGCTTCTCTCCGGTTTAGAGCTTCAACCCTTATATTCCTCCCCTTAGATTCTCCTCAATCACTTTCCCACTTTAAATATCGATTTTGGTCGACACCCTTCTTTTTCACACTTGGTTAATTCCATAATACTCTCTTTCCCACCACTTACTTTCTTCCTCAAATCCTTCTCCCACTATAAGCTTCAATTTTCATTTTAAATAACAAAAGTTCCATTAGTGCTTTTTTACTAGCTTTAGGGTGCTTCTAAAAACTTGATTTGCTGTCTTTATGATAGGAAAAGTTGAGAAAATTCCATGAGCTATGCGCAACAAGTCCCTAACCAGCCAATGAGTCGTCCCATCACAGATTCCATGGCTTTCCCCCCATCACTTTCTCCACATATCTTGCCCTTCACGCTTCCCCCACGGTTTTCTGCTTCAATTTATTTATTTTTAAGTGGGAACAGTAGTAATTTAACAACATCAAAAATGAAATAAGTATTTAAGAAGTATCACTCTCGTGTCTGAATCTATTTTTGATCAAAGTAAGTGTTTATTATTTTATTTCATAACCATTTTTAGGGTTGAGTTATCATGTTCGATCATTACAAAAATCGTTATACTCGTGATTTTAAAATCAAAAGAATTTGAAATCATAATAAGTAAAATCAAACTGATTTCAAAGAATTGATGGTTTAATTTGAGATAATATTTTAAAACTAAAGTGTTTGTGACTCATGATTCTTAACCTTGAGGTCGTGGGATCGAGTCCCACGAAGGGCATTTCATAATTCGGAGGTCTCTTACGGAAGCTGCTCTCAACCTGATGTTGGGGATAGCCTACTATCTTACCTCCCCCTACCTCATATATATGGGAAAAAGGGGCAGTTATTTTTTAATTATAGAAAAAATGAGAATGAAATGACGTAAATCAAACTTAATACTAATGGTGAACAAGATGGTGACTTGAACAAAGGTCGAATGGATTATGAAGGTAGTACAAGATGGTTATTTTTTTACTATCCCTGTATTTTTTTTCCTTTCTTTTTCTATTTGATTACCCAGAAAAATGGAAGATGATAGAAAGAAAAGGTGGGAAAATAAAATCTAAAGAAGAAAAGGAAGATGAAAGATTATGTCCCATATATTTAATTGGGCAGCCAATCTTTTTTAACAAACGTAATAAATCGATCTCAAAGTAATTGTATAATAAAAATTCAGCACACATTTCGTATAATTATTTGTAATCAAGTAAAAAAATAAATTATAAATGAGAATTTAAATATAGTATCTAATTGAATTCAATTATTGATTTCAATGGTGAGAGGTGACATAATTTTTAAGTAATTTAAATTCAAATAATAATATCTTCTAGATGCACGTGAGTTTATTTAAGATTATAGTAGAACAAATACTGCCATAAAATAATTTTTTATCTTGTATAAATTAGAATAGAAATCGTCTGCCCTCAATAGTGCCCCTCTTCCTGCCCCTCACCATTACACTCCATGTAGTCATCTAAAACAACAATTACACGCCGTGTAATATTAGTATTAATTATTTTAATAATTATCAACATTTATTCTTATGTTTTTTTCTGCCAGAATTTGTTTTATATGTTTATGTTGGGTTTTTTATATAATTTATTTATTTACAAGGGTAAAGTAGGCAAATGATCTACTGACTATAGAACGTTGATTTGTTGAATATTCAATTATTAAAAGTTATAAAATGGTCATCTGATTGTATATCATTGTTTTATCGAGTCTTTCGATATTAAAATTTACAAAACGATCACCTGACTATTCATATGTTCCAAACTTATTCTTTTTCGTTAAAAATTGACGTTCGTCTGAGCTGAACTTTAATATGTTGGCTGATATATAATTAAATCATATTTTATTGATGTCTATTGGTATCGCCGTTACTTTTAAACACTAACTCGACGACATAATATAAACAGTGAATCAATCCACAAAAGACAACTCATATATGGTTCTAGGATCATATTTTATCATTATCATATCATAGTCAACATGTTAACGTTCAACTCAAACGATTGCCAATTTTTTACGAAAATTGGTGGGTTTAGAACATATGAATGATTCAGTAACCATTTTAAAACTTTTAATATTCAGGGGACTCAACGCAACACATGTAGTCGAAGAACCATTTATGTATTTTACCTTATTTATTATTGATTAAATAAAATTATATTTTATAAGATTTTTTAAATTAAATTTATATTTTAAATCATTTTAATATTTTTGCCGGAATTTATTCATTTTTAATTTTTTTAAAAAATTAAATTATATTTTAAATTAAATATAATAATAAATCATTTTTAATTTAAATAATATTTTAATATTTTTAATCATTTTTATACAATTATATTTAAAACAAAATTAATCATTTAATTAAAAAAATTAAATTTAATTAAAGTTTATATTTTTAAGTAATTTTATTTTTATATTAGGTGGACTATAACTTTTAAATCTTATTATGTATGATATTATGCCTGTTTATTATAATTTAAGTCACAAAAAATATTCTGAATATAAATTATAACAGCATAATCTAATCGTGTAATGTTGTGGGTGCGTGTCAAATTTTAAGTTGTTTAAAGTAGCTGCTGCTTTTCTCAGCTGTAGCATGTCATTTCATGTTCCAACCCAACTCACTTACCATCCAATGAACAACTCATGATAGATTCCACGCCTTTTTAAGAAAGATGATTTTTCCCCCCTCAAAAAGTTCTTAGTCATTGTAAGGTCATAAAAGCATTGGGTGCTTTTTTTCTCAAAAAAATATATTAAATTACGGCAATGCCCACCCCACTCACCATGGAAGTGATTCATTTTTCAAAAGCGATGAGGAAGAATCTTGTCAAATAAAATAGATTTTTAACTTTGACGTCTCCAGATCAAAGCTTGCTTAAGATTGGTCTTAATCATTCGACACTTGGATATTCTCTCCAAAGCTGCCACGTGGATACTTGCTTTCTCTTTGTGATGTAAAGTTTTGATTCCAATTCGATGATAAACTTCTTTGCAAAGAATATGAATGGATACTGAAATCTAAAGGACTGCTTTAAGCTTTAAACAAGTAATTCTCTATGCCTTAGTTTAGGAGTAGTGGAGTGCTTCTTTCATATGATAATAACAATTAATTTATTGAACTTATTTACCATGGTTAGATTGATTTTTTTTTTCGTTCGCCATAATCTTTAATTAATTAACATTCATATTATATAAATTTCTAATCAACTACAATGTATAGACAAAATTTAAACAATACTATTTCTAGGTCGTAACTTGTGGGATGAAATCTAAAGTTTGACCACAAGATCATTATAATCCGATCAACCTACAAATAGTCATTATAATCTTATAACCGACACTTATATTAACAACTATTACAAATACTCCAACCAGGATAGGAACAAAGGCTAAGTTTCTCCAACCTTAACTCCTATTATCTATTTCCTCATAAACCTTTTCCTTTTTACAAAAACATTAATCAACGATTTTTTTTTCACCGACTGCAATTTACCGTCAAACTAGAATAATTAAATCGCTAATGGCCGACGAACCCAGGCCCATCAACTATACTCTTTTAATTTTGGTTGATGTTTCAGTAGTGTTATACATCCATTTACACATGGCTAAATCCAACATTAAACAAGTAAAAAAGGCTTCGCAACTTGGGAGAGCCAACCATAAGATCTGTCCTACACTAGCTTGAAGAGATATATTAATGGAGCCCACTTCTTTGAGATTATTTTCAAAATATTTTAGGATTATTGATTAAACTGAAAAGCACAATCCCATAATTAATTAAATAAGAAACATATAACAATAAAACCAGTGTTAATGGCTATCAAAAGAGGGCTGCTGCTTATGGAGGAAATAGTTTTGGTTCCAATGCCAAGGATTATCCTCGAATCGACTCCCTTACTGCACTGAAGTGGATGAAAAATATGGCTTTATGTACTCCTATATTTCAGTAATCAGTGAAAGAAATTACTACCCTAATGGATAGTAAAGATATAATTATTAGGCATATTTTTAGAGCTGCTAATTGGAAATCGGATAAATTAGCTAAAGAAGGAATAGGTTGATTAATAGGTTGTGTGTTTAGGTTGTTAAGTTTCTGAGTTGGTTGTATTAGTGTAGTTAGTTTGGTGTTTTACGTGTTATGTTGTAACTACCCTAATGGATATAAAGATATATTATTAGGCATATTTTTAGAGCTGCTAATTGGAAATCGGATAAATTAGCTAAAGAAGGAATAGGTTGATTAATAGGTTGTGTGTTTAGGTTGTTAAGTTTTCTGAGTTGGTTTATTAGTGTAGTTAGTTTGGTGTTTAAGTGTTATGTTGTAACTACCTAATGGAGTAAAGATATAATTATTAGGCATATTTTAGAGCTGCTAATTGGAAATCGGATAATTAGCTAAAGAAGGAATATGTTGATTAATAGGTTGTGTGTTTAGGTTGTTAAGTTCTGAGTTGGTTGTTAGTAGTAGTTTGGTGTTTAAGTGTTATGTTGTAACTACCCTAATGGATAGTAAAGATATAATTATTAGGCATATTTTAGAGCTGCTAATTGGAAATCGGATAAATTAGCTAAGAAGGAATAGGTTGATTAATAGGTTGTGTGTTTAGGTTGTTAAGTTTCTGAGTTGGTTGTATTAGTGTAGTTAGTTTGGTGTTTAAGTGTATGTTGTAACTACCTAATGGATAGTAAAGATATAATTATAGGCATATTTTAGAGCTGCTAATTGGAAATCGGATAAATTAGCTAAAGAAGGAATAGGTGATTAATAGGTTGTGTGTTTAGGTTGTTAAGTTTCTGAGTGGTTGTATCAGTGTAGTTAGTTGGTGTTTAAGTGCTATGTTGTAACTGAAGTTGTTAGGATCTGACTTTGTATTATTCTTATATTAATAATCTTAAGCACTCTTTTCCTCCTTTCAATGTCTTTCATGTTAATGTTGTTATTCTTACATTAATAAATTCTTAGGCCCTCTTTTTCCTCCTTCC